GTTGGAATTCCACGCGTTGGAATTCCACGCGTTGGAACTCCACGCGTTGGAAATCCACGCGTTGGAACTCCATGCGTTTGGAATTCCACGCGTTGAACTCGACGTGTTGGAATTCCACGCGTTGGAACTTCACGCGTTGGAACTCCACGCGTTGGAAATCCACGCGTTGGAACTCCATGCGTTGGAACTCCATGCGTTGGAATTCCACGCGTTGGAACTCCACGCGTTAGAATTCGGCGCATTGGAACTCGACGCGTTGGATATCGACCCATTGGATACCGTCGGGCTGGATACCGTCGCGCTAGATACCATCGCGTTCAATATCGCCGCGTTAGATAATTACACGTTAAACATATACTCTATATCAACATATAGAGTGTACTGACCTACTGAATATCAGTGTCATTAAAATTGACGATGCAAAACTTATAACATACTCAATGTACTCTACCCATACTCCATTGCATTATACCTAGAATCCATTCGTAAAATTCCATTCGAATTTTTCTGAAGCTTACACAGTTCCCACTCGGTTACCATAGTTGTAGCGAATAGTACAGCATTCACAGTGCATACGGAAATCCAGTTGATGAATTATGGAACACGAATTATTAGAAGAGAGAACGTTAACGCGGCGTTTTATCAGAATAGCGTCTGTTTCGGCTTTCAACGACGGAATACGAATAACTACTCTCTTATTCCTGATCCGGTGATATTCACGGTCAATGGGGAGCGACGCCATAAATATATAATACACTCCGACGCACCTAAGGGTGCCAGTTATTTTCATAGTCGCGGCACATTATACTCGTGCTTGTTAAAAATACGCAGACTGAGCGTGGAATCTCACGGATTAAAACAGACGCCGCTTTGTTTTCGGATTCTGGAAAACTTGGTACATGGTATTCTTGGGTCTGAGGAACTGACACTGATATTCACATTCACTGTTACATATTTTGTATTTATTAGTCAATTTTATTTATTAGTACAAAAATTTGTTAGTATATAAATTGAAGCATCTACAGGGCGTTTCAGGAATGATGTTTGAAAAAGATGTCTTTTAGCTTAGGCGACTTTGTTCATTTTTATTGAAACTTGTGTAGAACGTGGTAGAATGATTTGTGTATGTGTGATCCAATTTTGAAACTCCCTGTATATACAGTTTTCTCTCTGTTACAATAAGGGACTGTATGTGCAGAATTTTTATATATATTTCAGCTTGAACCATCTTTAATCATTTTTACTTAAGCTAGTTTTCATAGAACATGACAGAGTGATCCATGTATGTGTGATCCAATTTTGAAACTCCCTATATATACAATTTTTTCTCTGTTACAATAAGTAACTGTATGTGTAGAATTTTTATATCTATTTCAGCTTGAACCATCTTTAATCATTTTTACTTAAATTAGTCTGCATAGAACATGACAGAGTGATCCACGTACATGTGATTCAATTTTGAAACACCCTGTATATACAATTTTCTCTCTGTTACAATAAGTAACTGTATGTATAGAATTTTTATATCTATTTCAGTATGAAGCATCCTTAATCATTTTTATTTAAACTAGTCTTCATAGAACATGACAGAAACCCACACGTATGATCCAATTTTGAAACACCCTGTACATACAATTTTCCCTCAGAGTAAGCAACTAAATATAGAATTTCCTCTCAGTTATAACAAGCAACTCCTAAGTTAATCTACCTTGATCTTTACAAAAATAGCCTAACGCACTATTAATCAACTACAGGTCGTTTCAAAAGACCAAAGCTCCGTAATTCATCGTGTCGTTCGAAAGTCTAACGTTTCCTTAGCAGGTGTCCTCAGAAAAAATACCCAACAAAAAAGCTCGAAAGACAGTTTAAAGGTTGATAACTCTGTTCCATAGCGGTTTCGCGCTCACGTGTGAGCCCCGTAAATCGTATTAGCATGACACGCGAGCAAAAAGTGTGCACCCGATTCGAAGCATTTCCATTTCTACGAGGATAATGCCCACTAAATCACCGGTTAAACGTTTGTTACGCATTGGCGACGGTGTAAAACGCGGCTCGTGGGCAGAACAAGCGTAATTGCGAGTTGTGTCGGTTTGAGCGACGCGACGCGACGGAACCGATCGCGATTTCGACCTGGAACTTTGGCTCGTAAATACTTGCGGTTTCACGTGGGAATCGTTATACTGTTCCTACATTTGCTTAGGCGTGCAGATTGACTTTTCGTGCTCGATACGATCGGCCATTTGCGTTACACGTTGCTGCAAGAGATGTTTACAGGCAACAACGTTTTCTGAACGAGTTTCACTCTGCTATTTAATGTTGCATTGTTTAGCCTTACTTGTTTAATTTCTTTTGGAAAGGCGATGATAAATGAAAACGCTGTGTTAGAGGGTCTTGTTGATAATTCACTGCTTCAACATATGTGTGACATGTGTTGAACTGCAACAAGGGTTCAGCTCACTAATTATTATTGTACTCATACACAAATACGTGGTATATGTTACTATACTCATATGTGTACTCATATGTAGATATATAAGTTAGGTTAGATAGGTTGCAAGTAAGGTTAGGTAGCAAGGAAGGTTAGGTTGCAAGTAAGGTTAGGTGTCAGGTAAGGTTAGATGTCAAGTAAGGTTGGGTGTCAAGTAAGGTTAGGTGTCAAGTAATGTTAGATGTCAAGTCAGGTTAGGTGTCAAATAATGTTGGGTGTCAAATAAGGTTAGGTGTCAAGTAATGTTAGATGTCAAGTCAGGTCAGGTGTCAAGTAAGGTTAGGTGTCAAGTAATGTTATATGTCAAGTCAGGTTAGGTGTCAAGTAATGTTAGGTGTCAAGTAGGGTTTGGTGTCAAGTAATGTTAGGTGTCAAGTAAGGTTAGATGTCAAGTAAGGTTAGATGTCAAGTAGGGTTAGGTGTCAAGTAAGATTAGGTTGCAAGTCGGGTTAGGTTGCAAATAAAGTTTGGTTGTAAATAAAGTTAGGTTACAAGTAAAGTTATGTTACAATTGAGGTTAGGTTGCAAGTTAAGTTAGGCTGCAAGTTAAGTTAGTTTGCAAGTTAAGTTAGGTTGCAAGTTAGGTTATGTCGCATGTTAGTATTCAGATCAAATATTGAATTAAAAATGAAACGTTTTGAAAAGTTTCAGATCGTATTTAGATAAAGTTGTAAGGATCGCAATGTAGGTGAAAAGGTCGTGAATATCCTTGTCAACCTAATGGTTAGAGCTTGTAAAGGGGTATGTATCGTATCAAGGATGAAAAAGTCGACTGGAAGTGTTTTCCAGCTATGTTCCAGCCGGAACTAACGGCGCCTCGCCGCTTTAACGCGGCTGAAAGGCCGCGCGTGTGCTTTCGAAAGCGACAAGAAACGCTCGTTAATTTGTTCCACCGGAACGAATACAGTTCCTCGCGTTCCCAATTTTATCGCACGCGGCTTTTCTTCTTTGCTAAATTGCTGCCGGGCTTTTGTTCCGCGTCGAGATACTTTTAAGCGGTTTCGAATTTGAAACGGTTAGAAAGTGCGGTGTGCGTTTGCTGGAATCTGGGGATGAAGACTGTAATTTTGATTTAAAATTATTTTTCCGTTGAACTAGGTTTGTAGTAAATTTTTTTATTTGAGGACACATAGCTCTTCAAATTTCTAATTTTTTGATAATTAATTTACTAAATTTCTAACTTCCCAAATTCTGAAATTTCAGGGAAGCAATATCAGTCCTCGAAAGTTAAGTCATTAAAATTTTAGTTAAAGCAGATATGACCCATATTAGAATAATAATTCATAGGAACTTTGGTCAAGCGTACGATGATGAATAATACTTGAGAAAATAATTACCGAGTAGAAGTTTTGGTGAGTCATTGCTAACAGAAGAGCACTAGTCATACATATAGTCATACATGTGTACACGAATATTGCAGAGTAATCCGTTGATTACGAGAGAGAGATTGATCGTACTGTTATTCCGTTTTAAATTCGATCAGCTTCACTGTTTATCCGCTATGTACATATGCGTATTTATTATCTTTGAAGCTGATTAATTTATACTGTTTAAAATCGGATTTATTTTTTAGTATCGTTGTGATTTCATATGTTGTATTTTCACGTTCTATAATTCCACGCGTGGTACTGTCACGTTCTCTAACTCCACGCGTGGTACTGTCACGTTTTATATTTCCACGCTTGGTACTGTCACGTTCTATAACTCCACGCGTGGTATTGTCACGTTTTATATTTCCACGCTTGGTACTCTCACTTTCTATAACTCCACGCGTGGTACTGTCACGTTCTCTAATTCCACGCGTGGTACTGTCACGTTCTATAACTCCACGCGTGGTACTGTCACGTTCTATAACTCCACGCGTGG